TTCATTTCGCTTTTCCACAATGCTATATACGTTGCTTCTATTTGATCACGTGTAATGTAGGCTATTCTTTGTCTCACTCCAATAATCATCTATCTCATTTTCTACAATTATTTCTTGCATTTATTTTGCCCATTGTGATTGAGTAATAAAATTGTCTCATTTCCTGGTCTGTTCCATTTTGGCTACACATTTTATACCAATATCTGAGCATCATTCTGCTAATGAATACTGAGATTGGATGTCTCTCTAATTCCACGTGAACTACTAAATCTTTTGAAGACTGACGAACTTGTAAATTAAAGTATTTTACACAATTTTTTTTTTATTCTATAGGTTTTATCTGTATATTTATCCGAACCCCATATTAATATATATGATCATCCCCATTGTTTTCATTGTTCCTCTTTCAGGTTGTTGTGAGGTTTTGTTTAAATAACACAGGTTTTGCACATCAGCATGGTGCAACACTGTAGCCACGTGTCAGTGCCGAAGTATTGTTTAAAGCTATAATTATGAAGTGAACAGCAAGAGTCGTATGAGCATTATGTTTCCCTCTACGGTAATGAATTGTGCTGCGTGTATGTGCTGCCCCCAGTGGTGGTAAAATGATAGATATTTCAATGTTACTACCACCTCCTAAGTTAGATATTTTCACTGTCACACATATCCAGGACTGGTTTATGTGTAATTCCATGAAAGTCCATAAACTATCGGTAAAATCACAGTCCATATAGAAGGATAGACTCGGTTTCATTTTCTCGCCACTGTTACCTAACCACGGGCGAGCCACTCGTGTTCAACTACGATTCAAACCAATACCATTGATAATGCCAACAAATTATGTTGCCCTCAAGTCGGAAAATTGAAAAATTGGGTCGGTCGGTCGGATTTCTTTTTTAAACTCGTGAAAACTAAGGGTATCGTAAATAGCCGAGGTATATGGGAATCAATCAAACGCATGCTAGATATTAAACACAAAAATCAAAGTGTTTCTTTCAGTCTTTTGTATTTAAATACAGATCAACCCGAGTTTCAAAGTCGCCACTTATCCCCCGGGGACCCAGGGGGATCAAACAACGGTTCGGGGTCGTTAATTTTTAGTGGAAACTCTTTTACTGCTTAAAATGGCGAGTTTGTAATATTTCGGCCTATTAAAAAAAAAAAAAAAAAAAACCGCGACCCGATATTTCATATTTTTCGGTCGGTCTCCGAGGGCAACAAAACATTTTCTTTGGCCTAACCTACCATGAACTGGATTAGGGTGGGACGCAGCGTGGAAATCGAGTCCAATATTGCGGTCAATACTGTGGGATATACATAACCATGTAAATGAATAAACATATGTTTTAATTTGACAAAAAAGAAATACTTTTTACACTGGAGATGAATTACAATTCAGAATTTCCAACTTACTAACACACCATGCAACGCCTCATTAAAGCGGGGGGGGGGGGGTTGTCACTTGCGCACGTGGCGGACGGTTAAAGCGTGTCATTGTTTACAAACGAGCGTCTTCCAATGAGCCTTTTCTTTTTGAGCGTGCGTTGTCATCGCCGCTTGGAGCTCAATTCCCAGGCGTGCGCAGGTGACGAACCCTCCACTTTAAGCAAATAATTGACATTTCCAAAATGAGCGATACTTCAAGGTTGTGACTTTGAAAAACAGTTGACAGGAGAGAATTTTGACACGATACGGGGCACGCATGTCACACATTCCTACTACTGCCCTCTAGAGACGAGAAGATTCTGTGACGTACTGTGATCTTCAGTCGCATGGCAATAAAAATAATGGTTTTGTGAGGTTTACTATATTATAAATAACTAACGACTTCACAACCGATCAGAGTCGTCTATTTGACTCCTTTGGTGATGCCACAGAAGCGCTTCGTCGCTATGATACTTTTAAACAATGCTGATTGGTTATTTCCTTTTATATTATTATATTGCCATGGTTATTTATACATTAACGGCAAATGTTACCATGGTTACTGGTACATACACGTAATGACGATAATGAAATTACAATTCAATATTACAGCATAGATGTACCTTCATTATAACAGTCACGGCGCTATATTTGTTCTATATTTATCATTATATAAATATATAAATCCACATATAACTGATTTCTTAAATCAACACTCTTATAGACTTGTTTAGGTCTTTCACATTTGCGAGATAAGTTACTGCGGAATATCTAAATATTTACAGATCTGTTTGATCACGTTAATCTGCTAACGATGTGAAAGGAACTATTTAACATCCCCACATACCAGGACTAGGTCCGTTAATAAAGTTAATTTTACTTGTGTGAACTTTATTTAAAATATACACCTGTGCTGCTTGTTGTGATGTAATGAGAAAACACTTCGTTTGTAGAGAGACTGACTGATGTTTGTTAGAGGTAAAAGCGGGGGAGTCGTCATCTGCGCATCCGGGCTGCGCATGCGTCAGTTGGCCATAGCGTGTCATTGCTTACAAACAAGCGTCTACCTATAAGCCTTTGCGTTTTTAGCGTGTGTTGTTATCGTCGCTTGGGACTCAATTCCCACGCGTGCGCAGGTGACGACCCTCCCGCTTTAAATATAGGAGACTGCGGTGCTAACTACAACAGGTAAAACGACTGTATGATCATTTGACACGTGTCTACAGACATCCAATGATGATCGATGAAAACAAACTGTATCAATCCTATGACAATCCCACCGAAAACATCCAACACATGGTGGCGTCCTAACAGCAACCGCGACACGACGATACTGGTGAGGAACATTCCAACGGGGACCATGGTGGTGGCACTTATTTTCGTCTTCGATATTAGGATACACCCGACTAGAACTGACCGTGTACTGTGTCCAGATGGGAAAGAAAGTCCCGCTGAATTGGCTGAGATGGTTGCAAAAGTATCACTAGTATTCTGGCTTGGACGAGGCCGACGAACCAGAAATTTTACGACCATAACGACGACAACATCAATGCAAATTGCTGTAAGAGAATGACATGGAATTAATGAAAACGTTGCAAGCATAGGTTGTTATCAAGATATGCACATAATGACACATTAAAGCAAGGGCGTCGTCACCTGCGCATGCGTCAGACAGCCGTAGCGTGACGTTGTTTACAAACAAACGTCTACCCATGAACCTTTGCGTTTAGAGCGTGCGCATGTGACGAACCCTCTGTTTTTACTCGAATCTAATTGTTTTTCATTCAAATGAAACTGATTTTATTGAATAATCGAAATACGAACACTAGAATATTTATGTTTTTTTTTTCTTCCCGACACCATTAAAGCGGGGGAGTCGTCACCTACGCATGCGTCAGGTGGTCATAGCGTGTCAATTTTTACAAACAATGGCATACCCATGAGCCTTTGCGTTCTCAGCGTGTGTTGTTATCGTTGCTTGGGACTCAATTCCTGCGCGTGCGCAGGTCACGACCCTCCCGCTTTAACTATACCATCGATAGGATATATCTTAGAAGCAAATGGCCGCTGAAATGTCGTTGAGAGCGAGAGAGCTGTGACAGGAAATAACGTGGTTCTCTTGCTCTGACTGATTATATGTGCATAGTGCGTGGAATTTAAAATCCTACGGGGTTTCCCGTGTTGAAAACTGGGTGTGCGCTAGAGGATTTTGTAAAACAAAATCGTCGCAAGTAAAATCGCTCAATGACTTTCAAAGTGTAGGAGAATTGTAAAAAAAAAATGTTAATAAAAATTGCCAGGCATATAACAAAATATTTGCAGAAAACCAAATTTCTTCAATTGGGTAACCTCTACATATGTGGTCCCGAATACACTTTTCCACTGATATAATTAAATGTATCTCGCTTCAAATATGGAAAAGCATAACAAATAATATAATATAATACAGTTAAGTTTTTTAGAGTTCAACAGAATTAGTTTTTTTAAAAATTATTGCTCCACTTTCATCATCTCATGGAACATCAGATGTAAATAAATCATTCTTACAACGTGTTTGTCTTAGGAATTACTTTCGTAAAAAAAGATGAAAAATATTACTAACATTACCAAACTGTTGTGTGCGAACGAGGTTGAGTTTCACATTAGTGTTTTCGAATATTGTGTAGCCTCGTTCTAAGGACAACAAAACTCATGCCGGTGGGTGGTCGCTTGGGATTAATTAATTCAGTTCGATTATTCTACGTAATTATATAAACCAGAATTATGTTTTTTTATGCATGTAGCAAATGTATACTAGTATTTCCTCTCTGAAATTGTTTTGAAAAAAATCAGTTTTACAGAGCAATCACATTCTGTCAATAACACACAATGTATTCTGACAACATGCAGTCATTGTTCAAACACTCACAGAAACAGAAACACAAACGTAAATGCGTAGAGTAAATCTTTACCTACAATAAAGCACGAATTTGTTCGTCAAATTAGTTTCCCCAATGTATGTGCTGAACTCGTCCCCACTTAAAATAAATATAATAGGAACAGTCAACAGGCGCGATTCGTGCATTGCGTGTTTCAATTTACTTAAGTTGTCTATTTCCATGTACATTACATACTTCCTTCTTTTTTTTTTCTTTAATACGCCATGAAAACGAACACTGACCGTGAAAAGTTGAAAAGGGCAAAATAGATACACATTCCTGTTTACAGTTGTACTGTCCTTCGTAATTCCTCGGACGTGTTAAGGACAATGTGAGGTGTACATAGCCATGTTGTTCTAGGTGTGTTACACAAAGTAACCTATTCACCCTGTCGGTGTATGTATAAATTTTAATCCCCTTAGAACATCTATCACTTAATCCTCGTTATCCCCTTTGTTGACACAATTTGCATTTGCCATCGACATTTTTCGATCTACCCTCAGTGCCGCTCATCTTCAATACAACTTTAAGATCGAGAAACTAAACGAAAAAGCAACCTAACATACAGTATTGAAATGTAACTCACTGATTTGCTAACAAAGTAGCAATATACATATCAGCACACCATTACTAACACACTGTTAGAATCCATATGATTTATCTAGTCAGCAATTTACTTCTGGCGATGTACCTGATCAGTGCTACGCCACCATGGTTGTCCCTGGTTTGAGCTAAACCAACATGGCTGTAACTGGTTTGAGCTAAACCTACATGGTTGTAACTAGTTTGATCTAAACCAACATGGTTGTCCCTGGTTTGAGCTAAACCTAGATGGTTGTAACTGGTTTGAGCTAAACCAACATGGTTGTCCCTGGTTTGAGCTAAACTTACATGGTTGTAACTGGTTTGAGCTAAACCTAGATGGTTGTACCTGGTTTGAGCTAAACCTACATGGTTGTGCCTGGTTTGAGCTAAACCTACATGGTTGTACCTGGTTTGAGCTAAACCTACATGGTTGTACCTGGTTTGAGCTAAACCTACATGGTTGTAACTGGTTTGAGCTAAACATACATGGTTGTACCTGGTTTGAGCTAAACATACATAGTTGTGCCTGGTTTGAGCTAAACCTACATGGTTGTACCTGGTTTGAGCTAAACCTACATGGTTGTAACTGGTTTGAGCTAAACATACATGGTTGTGCCTGGTTTGAACTAAACCAACATGGTTGTAACTGGTTTGAGATAAACCTACATGGTTGTAACTGGTTTGAGCTAAACCAACATGGTTGTAACTGGTTTGAGCTAAACCAACATGGTTGTAACTGGTTTGAACTAAACCTACATGGTTGTAACTGGTTTGAGCTAAACTAACATGGTTGTAACTGGTTTGAGCTAAACCAACATGGTTGTAACTGGTTTGAGCTAAATCAACATGGTTGTAACTGGTTTGAGATAAACCTACATGGTTGTAACTGGTTTGAGCTAAACCAACATGGTTGTCTCTGGGTTGAGCTAAACCTACATGTTGTCCCTGGTTTGAGCTAAACATACATAGTTGTGCCTGGTTTGAGCTAAACCAACATGGTTGTAACTGGTTTGAGCTAAACCAACATGGTTGTAACTGGTTTGAGCTAAATCAACATGGTTGTAACTGATTTGAGATAAACTAACATAGTTGTCCCTGGTTTGAGATAAACCTACATGGTTGTAACTGGTTTGAGCTAAACCAACATGGTTGTAACTGGTTTGAGCTAAACCAACATGGTTGTGCCTGGTTTGAACTAAACCAACATGGTTGTAACTGGTTTGAGCTAAACCAACATGGTTGTAACTGGTTTGAGCTAAACCAACATGGTTGTAACTGGTTTGAGCTAAACCAACATGGTTGTAACTGGTTTGAGCTAAATCAACATGGTTGTAACTGGTTTGAGATAAACTAACATGGTTATACACATGTACCTGGTTTGAGCTAAACCAACATGGTTGTAACTGATTTGAGATAAACTAACATAGTTGTACCTGGTTTGAGCTAAACCAACGTGGTTGTGCCTGGTTTGAACTAAACCAACATGGTTGTAACTGGTTTGAGCTAAACCAACATGGTTGTAACTGGTTTGAGCTAAACCAACATGGTTGTAACTGGTTTGAGCTAAATCAACATGGTTGTAACTGGTTTGAGCTAAACCAACATGGTTGTAACTGGTTTGAGCTAAATCAACATGGTTGTAACTGGTTTGAGCTAAACCAACATGGTTGTAACTGGTTTGAGCTAAACCAACATGGTTTAACTGGTTTGAGCTAAGCCAACATGGTTGTAACTGGTTTGAGCTAAATCAACATGGTTGTAACTGGTTTGAGATAAACTAACATGGTTGTACCTGGTTTGAGCTAAACCAACATGGTTGTAACTGGTTTGAGCTAAATCAACATGGTTGTAACTGGTTTGGGATAAACTAACATGGTTGTACCTGGTTTGAGCTAAACCAACATGGTTGTAACTGGCTTGAGATAAACCTACATGGTTGTAACTGGCTTGAGATAAACCTACATGGTTGTACCTGGTTTGAGCTAAACCAACATGGTTGTAACTGGTTTGAGCTAAACCAACATGGTTGTAACTGGTTTGAGCTAAACCAACATGGTTGTAACTGGTTTGAGATGAACTAACATGGTTGTACCTGGTTTGAGATAAACTAACATGGTTGTACCTGGTTTGAGCTAAACCAACATGGTTGTAACTGGTTTGAGATAAACCTACATGGTTGTAACTGGTTTGAGATAAACCTACATGGTTGTAACTGGTTCGAGATAAACTAACATGGTTGTAACTGGTTTGAGCTAAACCAACATGGTTGTAACTGGTTTGAGATAAACCAACATGGTTGTAACTGGTTTGAGATAAACCTACATGGTTGTAACTGGTTCGAGCTAAACCAACATGGTTGTACCTGGTTTGAGCTAAACCAACATGGTTGTAACTGGTTCGAGCTAAACCAACATGGCTGTACCTGGTTTGAGCTAAACCAACATGGTTGTAACTGGTTTGAGCTAAACCTACATGGTTGTACCTGGTTTGAGCTAAACATACATAGTTGTGCCTGGATTGAGCTAAACCAACATGGTTGTAACTGGTTTGAGCTAAACCAACATGCGTGTAACTGGTTTGAGCTAAACCAGCATGGTTGTAACTGGTTCGAGCTAAACCAGCATGGCTGTAACTGGTTCGAGCTAAACCTATATGGCTGTACCTGGTTCGAGCTAAATCAACATGGTTGTAACTGGTTTGAGCTAAACCAACATGGTTGTAACTGGTTTGTGCTAAACCTACATGGTTGTAACTGGTTTGAGCTAAACCAACATGGTTGTAACTGGTTTGAGCTAAACCTACATGGTTGTAACTGGTTTGAGCAAAACCAACATGGTTGTAACTGGTTTGAGCAAAACCAACATGGTTGTAACTGGTTTGAGCTAAACCTGGATGGTTGTACCTGGTTTGAGCTAAACCAACATGGTTGTACCTGGTTTGAGCTAAACCTAGATGGTTGTACCTGGTTTTAGCTAAACCTACATGTTGAACCTGGTCAGATATATACCTTAATGTTGTATCTGGTCGGGGATATACCTCCATGGTTGTATCTGGTCAGTACTATACCTCCATGTCTATAACTCATTTGGTTTATTTTGTTACCTCCAGTATATTACCCGTAATATACATCACACGCAAATATCGAAATGAATGCTTGATCAACAATGTTCACACACGTGTCAGAACCGGATTGATGTTGGTGTACTTTTGTATATGCTTAAATGCGTTTCATGACTAGTATTCAAACATCTAATTCCAAATATGGCATTACATTCTTGTTCCAAGTATTATGTTGCATTATTGATTTCTGGAAAAGTTGCACAAAAAGCAGAATTCATTATTTATCCATATAAATATATTTACTTGTACAATTTCTACATTTAATGTTGTTTAAAACCTTTTTGGCGGAATAAATTTCATTCATTCATTCATTTACAAACAGGACAAAGCAAGAATGCCACGCATGAACGCTACAAATGTAAATCGGCTAAACGTAATAAATGGTCCGTGCTGATATCAAAGCCGAACCAAGACATTTTGCATGTGAACGACTCTATACTTCAACTTCAAGGTGGCTGAAACAACTTACAATGGAAGAGTGCTTGGCACGTTAGTTTCATATATGTCTCAATAGGATTAAACACATACATAGGGTAGCACGTCTACATATTATTTTACTTATGCATGGTTTCAACTGATGAAGTTAACTTTCGAATTCAAAGTGTATTACCGTTGCCATTCACCACACGCATCGCAAATGAAAACTACAAGCCGATAACTGTGGTTAAAGATAATTAATACTTGCTCGTATTTTGAGAAAACTTGTCTGGCAGACTTGTCTACCGTGAAAATTGATACACGGGATTTTCTTCTGAGGTGTCAAAAAACACAGCTATGCAATGCTCAAGTTTGACGGTGATACGATTGCCGTCCGCACGTATAATTCAAATATGTTATAATGAAAGTAAATGCACCTGATAAAATGTTCACCATGAATTGTTCAATTTCGGCGTCCGTTGTGACCACGATCACCACCAAAGCAACAAAGATCCACAACAAACCGTGGCCGACAATTTCAAGTATTTTCAACGGTCGTCTGAGTTTCGACCATTTTGAGCCTTCACGGCAACATATGCTCACAACGTTGGTTAATTCAATGTCCGTGGCAATCAGCTCTTGCCATGCATTCGATATACATCGTTCGGGGGTCTTTCGTGTCCCGACCATTGTGGTGGCAATGTTATCATTAACTGCGACAGGAATGGCATCGTAATCCAAATGACTGTGAGTGATTCTACCGAGCATGATAGCGTTGTTAAAACCAGAATAGTTCGGTGCTTGGCTGTTAAGCGAGTGTACACGTTTTGATCTAATAATGTTCATAATCCTGGAAAGTCATGACGTAATTATGACACGACGGTTTGCATCTGGCAATAAATCAACTGCGAAATACTGTCGTTACTGGGTATGGGAGAGGGTAGACAATCGCCCGCACTTCATCGTGATAATGAAAAAGCTGAGATTATCAAGAAGGTGTATGCGCGTAACGTTCCATAGGGACTATTGACCACACTGTCCGCGCTGTGGGAAAAATCCTTATTGATTTTTAAGCACTCAATTAAAAAAGGCCACCGGTACGTGCGTCGTGTTTGAGTCCGTTTGTAAATTAAATTTGTTCCCAAACAGACTGTTAAAAAGCAGTTTCTGATTGGTGTCCTGATTTTGAAAAAGGTTTTATTATAAATGACAAACGAGATGTTGAATTTAAATCTGTTATTTTATTGCAATACCTCTGTTATGGGATATGTTTTTTTTTTTTAAAAAGGTAAGGTAAAATTACAAGCGACATTATTCAGGAATGATGCGATTATTTTAGCAGTTTATACAAGAAATTTTATGCTGATCAGAATGATCACAATTTTTTTTAAATCAGTTGAAAAAAGCTTTATTAATTAATCAGTTTATCAATAGAAAGAGATAATGTATGCTTTAAGGTAGAGATGCAGTTCACCTGACAGGTATTTTAATTAGTTAATTAGGAAACCAAGATGACGTCCCTTGTCCACAAAACTATATATTTTCGGAAAGCTTATTGTATGAATTTTAAAATTTTGTTAGTATTTTTTTATGGACACTGTAGTTTGAAATATGCAAAAAAATGTGCTTTTTTGGTCAAAAGTGATTTAAAAAAAATTAGCTTATAAACCATTCAAAATTGGTTTACGGGTACATCTGTTTACTGTGAAGAAAGTGCTGTCTTGAAAAAAATCTACCAGTTGTCAATTTTGCAGGGCAGCAGCTCAAATTTCATTATTTCAAGTTTATGCATAAATTAACACTCAGGCTAGTTGTCTGTATGATTGTTGTAACACTGTTCAACCAAAAACAATGCCCCAACGGCGTTTTGAAGATAAACACATTGTCAATCATTTGTGAAAATTTAAAAACAAAAGGTCAAAGCGTCTAGGAGCTACTTTTTTTAAAGTTCTGGAATGTGCACTAACAAGAAGCTGAGATAATTGCTAATTTGCATAACAATTCACTCAGTAAGAATTTTGCTAATGCTCATAATTAAAATGGCTGTAACAGTTCCAAATTTAAATGTATTATCGTTTTGTTAAAAGTTAAATATAATGCATAATATGGAGATCCCGTCATTTCTTTTTTCACCACGTTTCTTTTTTTATTATTTATGTATAGCCTTGCTAAATCTAGCTAAGCATTCAAAAAAGATAATGTTTGCACCTGTTATTTATATTTTAAAATCCTTTTTTGAGTATGTTCCACTATTCATAATTCTACAAAATTTTAACAGTCTATAGCCAAGACTGTTTGGATAATGAAAAGCAAAAAAAAAAAAAATTCACTCCCAAGTGCCCACAAACATGCAAATCTACCTTAAATGAACTTAAAGCGTACAAAGCACCGGGGTCTAAAGGAAGATAGCTTAGAATGTATGTGAATTTCACTCCAGTATGAACAAATGCCTAGCTGCGATGAAAGTAATATCTCAATGCGGTCAGCTATTGGCCGTAAATGTTGATTCAATTCAATTCGTTTATTTAAAATCAGTTTGAAATATCTAGCCAAAGGCTAATATCACTGACTACTAAAAATTACATCAAACAAAAGCAAAAATTACAAACATCAAACACAGAGAAAAACAACAGTAAGACTTCACAAATAATTAATTGTTTAAGTAATTAAATATCCTAAAATGATGGTGACCACAATGACACCATTTGCTTAAAAGAATATAAATCATTGCACTCCTTCATTCGGTTAGGAAGCGAGTTCCACATTTTAGCACCATAATAAGACAATGACTACAGTCTATAGCGTTTTGTCCTTGGTCGCTTTAACTTTAGTTGATGAGAATTTCTCAAATTGTACGTTACATTTTTCTCCTTGTATAAATACCAAATAAAAGATGGGGGAGAGTTTGTTCACACTTTTATAAACTTGATTAAGTATGTCACGATTCCTGGACATCTCCAGTGTTTGTAGTCCAGCACGTTCCAATAAAGTTTGATAGCTGATAGATAGATTGGTTGGTTGCCATCGTATAGCATATAAAGTATTATATTTATCGCGACGGTTATAAAGTATATGCGTGTTTCACATCTGCATAAATTTAAATGTGTAATGAGATATTACAAGCATTCTATCTAGACATTAGTTGGGTAGCATATAAACTGGCCAATGAACATAGAGTATTTTATTTCCCGAGACGCTCACGGCGCACAGTGTGTTTACGACGTCTGCATAAATGTGATCGATAAGATATTACTAGCATTGTATCTAGGCATTAGTTGAGGAGTTATAAGCTGCCATAAACATTATGAGTATTCTCTAGAAGCTTGACACAGTGTTTGTGGGTAACGTGTGCATAAATGTGAATAGGTAATGGGATATTACTAGCATTGTAGCTCGATATTAGTGGGGTGTGTAGAAAGAATAAACAATATATTCAAGGGTTGCCACATATTTGCATATTTGTAGGTGTTTATAATATACTATTTATTTTAATGCAAAATTTTCCAAAACAGCCATATTATAAAGAACATTATACGTTATGTTAAAGAGATAATGTGGATGACAGGGCACATCCGTACGACGTATTATAGTTAAACACATCATTTTCTACAACTGTAATGGTTAATATTTTTCAGATATTTATAATTTATCTGGATAAAATGGGCGTCAAATCATATGGCCAGAACTCAATCGTCGTAAAGATTTATTCTCCAATATACGTCTATATTGTTCTGCCGATAATGTTATAAAATATAGATCTTCCTGATAGATAGGTCGGGATAGCTCAGTCAGAGCGAGGCAGAGTTAGTTAAGTAGGGCGAGGAAGGGTTCGTCCGGTCGGGGAGAAAAAAAGGAGCAGTCAAATCATGGTTCAACCGGGACGGGCAGTAGTAGATTTCGCGGTCACATGACTTTCGCGTTCACCCCTCGTTAACGCAATTTATATTTATTTTTCAAGAATTTTTCATCAGAATCGCAACAGACTGCAAGAAAGTCTATCCGGATGGCGGTGTTTTTAACATATTAGGTTAATTGCTTGCCAAACCTATGAAAATATGTTTACAATATTTGTTTCGTATTTGCACGATTAATATTGCTCAAAATTTACAGAGATTGAGACATCGACACGAAGTAGTGTGTGTATGAATGTGAGTATAGCCTGCCATGGTTCATGGCATGTTTGTGTATTCCGTACTTGCATCCCGACATCAAGAAAGAGCGCCACCAACGTACTTATGTGTTGTGCAGTCCCAGCCTGATTCATGATTACAACGTATTTCCAAGAATAAATCCATTTTCGTTCTCTTTTCAACTTTGTAATTCTTTTCTGAAAAACAAACAAACAAACAAATCTTTGTGTATAACGCTTAAAAACGTCGGAAAGTCATTCTGAACAAGACATCATACATTCATTGCCCATTTGTAAATTTATCTCCAGATGAGCCCACGTATCCCGGCGAAAGACGTCAAATTGTCATAAATTCCTCAATATTGTTCCCAATTAT